GTCATCCTCGCTTACGGACAATCATACAAGTTGACATGTATGTTGTTATTTATTCAGCAGATTATTCAATAGAATAATCCACTACTAAAGTAATTGTTAGCTGCAGCCCTAGATGCATTCTACGTTATTTTTATTACTTCTACTAGTAATGACTTCATTTTTTACTTTGATTGTATTTGATATATAGGAATGAGGTTCTTTTAATACCGATATTGCGTATTCCCTGAAAAATGTTTAGAATAGAGTTCAGGATTTTTTATATTTTTTTTGGACGAGACAGTTAAATAAAGTTGTTCAGACTGTTGCACAGTCACCACCATCATATTAGTGCACCGTTATTTCTAAAATCACCACAGTCAGAGGAAGTTTTGTTTGTTTTTAATGAGCATGTTGTTTGTTAAATGAAAACAACTTTTTTCTATTTAGGTCGAATACACACAAAACTGTATAAAATAGTTAAAAATGAATATTCAACATTTAACAACATTTATGTGTGCTAGGAATGTCAGAAAATGATTTAAATCTCTAAATACATATAAGGCCAAATATTTATAGGTTTTTATTGTGTCTAAACAAATTAACAAGTGGAAAAATGCCCTCTTTACAAAAAAATAATAATTAAATATGGTAAATTGGGGAGTTTGCACCACTAAACAGCAAAAATATTGATACATATAATATATCTTCAGACTTTAATTTTACTATTTTTTTAATTAAAACCTGTTTTATCCAAATTGTCAAGAATCAGTCTCGTATATAAAAATCACCAGAATAAGTCCACTTGAACAATTGTATAACTCAGTTTTTTGTCTTTTCCAAATAAAAGTTTGTAACTATGCACTTCGACCTTTTGTTACCTTGATAAAGAGATAAAGGTCCAACGATAGGTTGGAAAGGTGGGGAAAAAAATTGGAGCTTTGAAGAAGATAAGTTGGGAAATAAAGTACCCTATGTTACAGCATGTTCTGTACTTTCAGGAAACAAAATTCCTAAAAGTGTGCTGCGTCCTCAATGACCACAGAAAGCAAATAATTGATTAAAGATAACTGATTTTACCGGGTTTTTTTTAAGTTCAAAGTAGTTTAAATAAATCATGTACGACATCAGTTCAGTGTCTCTGCAGTTGTGCAGCTGATTTTAGCTTGAGATTTAGGAATTACTTTAAAATTAATCCTTACATAATGTCCTCTTTTGAAGAAATGTGCCTGCTGTATCGTGGACTTCCGCTTACCAGATTTTCTTTCTCAGAGGATTTAAAGTTTTTTGAAGAATTCATCTTTAAAGATGATGACATTTTACTTGTCACATACCCAAAGTCAGGTCATTGTTATTGTCAGATATTTGCATTTATGTTTCTCACTGTGAATTTGAGATAAAAACTTGGTGATGATGACTGAGAAACCTGAAAGGACCAGGAGCAAAATTTCAAAGTTGTCCAAGTGTGTGTTCAACCGCTTCTGAGTACAACATCAGTTTATGTGTAGAAGAATCTAATCCTAAAATTAGGAGAATTCCTTAAAGTGATTTTTTTTCTTTCAGTTTTTAATAATCATTTTAAAGGCCAGAGTGAGAAAAGGGAAAATTTGTCCCTAAAGTTTTGTACTAAATTTGTAGTGGCTTATTGTAATGCATCTCATGTGTCTTTTGTGGTCTGCAGCTGCTGATGTTTGAACATCATGGGGTGTTATGAGAATAAAAATCCTTTCTTTAAAAAAAGACATTTTTTTGACATTACTATAAGTTTTTTGGGGCAGCAGGGTGGGGTAGTGGTTAGTCGGCTCACAACAAGGTAACCTGTTTGTCTCCTGCCTTTTATGTTCTTTTTTCTGGATACTGTGTTTTCATCCAACACACCAAAAACATGCATGTTAGATTAATGGGTTACTCTAAAATGGTCTTTAGACGTGGGTAAGAACATGAATGGTTGGTTGTCTTAATGGAAGATTGACTTTTTTTGAGCTTTACATCATGTTATTATATCATCCCCTCATTATGAACATACCCAGAGTGTTGCTTTGACTCATTCATGCATGTTTAAGAAATCCTTGAATCTCCTGTGGCAGTCATGTGGAACTTCCTAAACACTTGTTGGTACAAAGCTCCACATATTTACTCAAAGTGTCTTTGGTCAACAATTCTGTGTGGTGCTACAGCCACCTATTAGTGTGACGGTAGAACTATATTATTCAATAACACTGACATTGTTGCTAAAGAACGACTATTGTCAATACGGTGGTGTTTTAAACCATTTTAGCAATACACTTAACCAAGTGCTGCATTTTCTATATACTGTTTACTCTTGTTGCATTTTTGGCTTCTTTCTTACTTTTTGCAGGCACAACATGGATGAAGGAGATCCTCACCATGGTGCTGAATGGTGGAGATCCAACCCCATGCCAAACCATTCCCAACTGGGAGAGAGTCCCATGGCTGGAACAAAGAAAAATGATAGAATTTGTGTTAAAGCTGACATCTCCACGTTCACTCTGCACACATTTTCCCTGCAAACTGATGCCCTCTTCCTTCCACACTTCCAGGGCCAGGGTAATTATATGGGGATGTATTCCTAAACTAAAAAGAAAGAAAACTTTAATTTTTTTTGACACATTTTATGTTGTTGCATTGTAGGTGATCTACGTCATGAGGAACCCAAAGGACGTCTTGGTGTCTTCATACTACTTCCACCAGATGGCTTCTTTCCTCCAAGAWCCAGGAAGTCTTGATGAGTTCATGGACAGATTTCTGAAAGGCAGAGGTCAGAGGTCACATGTTAATTATATTTATAAAAGTTAATTTTGTTCATTACTAAAAACGATTATTTGGAATGGTAAAAATACTTTTTTAAAACTCATTTTCAATCATTAAAAAAGACACTTATTCTTCTGTTTGACTCGTCTGCAGTGATATTTGGAAAATGGACAGATCATGTGAAGAGCTGGAAATCTGCAGAGCTGGGAGACAGAATAATGTTCATCACGTATGAAGAAATGATTCAAGTAAATGTTAAACTCTCTGTGAACACAGTAATTCACTGGTTTAGTTTCAACTCACAGATGGAATTTAAGAAGTGAGACAAAGACATTAAAAACAGTCAGATCTGAGGTTTATTTTTAATTGTGTTTCATTATTAGTCCTCTGATGCACTTTCTTTTTGGTGAATGAGGACAAATTGTTTTTTTTAGATATTTTTAAGGAATCTACAAGTTCCCATTTTTGAATAGGATGAACAGTCAGTAGGTAAAAATATTGAATGGATGTTGGAGATGATGCAGGCAGAATTTGTGAAAATACAAACCCAGTTTCAACTAAACAAGACATTATTAAATTTGGACAAAACAAACTACATTATATTTGTAACAAAAAGAAAAACTTTTACATATTTAGAGTTGATGTTGAAATTTATAAAGTGAGCGAGGTGAAGATTTTGGGTGTCATCATTGCTGAAAGGCTGACATGGAAATCCATTAAAATAACAATAGCAAAGTCAATTGCATTGCTGTATAAAGTAAAAGAGTTATTAAACGCTTTGTATATATTTTATAATGTAATGATTATTCCACATAAATTTTATTGTATTGACGTTTGGGGAAAAGCATGTAAAACAATTACAAATCCTATTTTTGTTGTACAAAAAAGAGCTGTAAGAATTAGTAGTAAGTGGTCTGGTCATCAAATAAATACAACATTATTTCAATATAAATTATTAAAATTTCYGGATTTGGTTGATTATAGTATTTTATAAATAAAAGCTCATAAAAATATTACCTTTAAATATTCAGTTAAAATTTGTTATGAGAGAAAGTCATTATAACCTTAAGGGAATGGAGATTTTTTATAAAAACCTCCTTTTTATATCAGTCTGAAGGGGCCATGTTCTGTAATTCATGGACTAAGTTTGTGGAATAGTGTTTCTACTATTATAAAAACCTCTAAAACAATTTGTATGTTTAAAATGATGATTGAGTTGAAATTATTGAGAAAATATACCATTTGTAGTATTTAATGAAAATAAGATATGAACATGTGTAGAGGTAACCCTGGTGAAAAAAAACTTTTCTATTGTTTTTTCTTTGTCTTTGATTTTAATTTTTTTACACTTATAAGAAGAAAATCATTTTAAAGTGTTTTTATTTTCTTTAAGTGAATAGAACAACAGGTTCTATATGTTATCTCATTTAATCTTCTATTAGAGGTTTCAATCAATATAATCAAAGTTTTATTGATTTAATCTTTGCATATCTCTCTTTATTTTAGAGTGTAACAGTGAAAAGAAAATGAGTGAAATGTGTTTTATTATGCTTTTTCTTAGTACTATTATTAGTCATGGTTTAATCATTCTTCTTAGTGGGTTAATAGATTAATAATTGTGTACTATTAATATTCACTATTAGTCCATTTGTGCAAAGTTTGGTGTGATTTCTAAGCTGAGGTGAAGTGATTTTTAAGAAAGACAGTAAGTCTGCCTTTTGCCAGACTTTCAAGGTTCTCTCTGCTGATAAAGAACTTGCAGCTGGTGAGAAAACAGCTTTGTTTTCTTTCCCACCTCCCACCTTTCTCACTGACTTCCCTCTCAAGCTAACTTTCTGTTCTAAACAGTTAATGGTAGTTCTTCGTCTGTTGGAGTGCGTGGTTCTGTCTGCGTGCCATACAGGCACCTGCCTGTTCAAACCTGGATGGAAGTTACTAATTTTTTTTTTGCTGCTGAGAAGCACTGGACAGATCAAAGTCGACCGCCCCTAGAGCCTGGAGGCTCGCTAGGGGTGAGAGAAGCCTGTGGAGATGAGGCTGGGATGAGACAGGACTGTCTCAATCCTCAACCCCGGGTGTCACGAGGCGACACTATCCACCTGGCGGACTCAGTCCTGACAATCTCAAAACCGTCCACCTGCCTGTCTTTGACAAGACATCAAAAGGTAAAAGGAGATGTTTGCTGAGATAAAACGTCGGAGAGAGTCTAGCCCTCGGAGGTGTCCAAGTCTCTGACATGCTGTTGGTGCTGGTCAGGTCTGATTTAAAGAACAGTGCAAAATTACTAATTCTCTTTTCCTCCTATCCTTAAAACTTAAATCTTTACCTTTGTTCTCTCTTATTTACTTAAAAACTTAGTCAAGTAGGTGCCAGTAAATTGCAACACCTGAAATTTACTGTTTTATGTCAACTCTGAGTGGAATTTTATGAAAAATTATAGCTTGTGTTTTTATTCATATAATAATTTTAAGAAATGTTTGTATGTTTATTCTGGTCATATATCTAAAATAAATTACTTTATTTTGAGAAATCTGTTCAGGTCACAAGTTCTTTTCACATTCATGACCAGAGGGGTATTTCATGATTTCCTGATTTCCTTCTGCAAGATCTTGCTGGATTACATTTATGAAAATAGGCTGGTCCTAATTTCACGAAGTAATTCCTACACATGCAATTTAATTTTTTAACAAGCTCACAATAAGCTTCATTGTAGAAACTGCTACATAAAAGGAGTAGTGAGATGTCACGAATGGGTTTCCGTAGTGCGCTGTGTTTATGAGCTTGTGCTGTATGTCCAGACACGTTAGTTCAATAAAGCTGAGTACTAAACGCTACGAGAATGTTCCAAGCTGCCTTCTTCATTTAAATATAACTATTCATGACAAAAGGCTTAATCTCAAAATGTATTATTAAATACCAACTGCATGTATATCTCTTCCAGGACCTTTCTGCAGCTGTTAGGCGTCTTTCAAACTTCCTGGGCCATAATCTGAGTGAAGAAGTCATCCAAAATATTGCAGAGTACAGTTCTTTTAAAACCATGAAGAACAATAAAATGTCCAACTTCACCCTGATCTCCAAGGAGGTTCTGAACACTGACAAGTCTGTTTTCTCGAGGAAAGGTGAGTTTCTAAATGTTCATCATAAATCAGATTAAACCAGCTATCATGGAGAACAGACAAGTGAATTTCTCATGCCAGTCCCAAGCCTAGGCAAATGGTTAGAGATGTGTCAGGAAAGGCATCTGGCGTAAAACATTTTTGCCAGAACAAACATGCGAGTTCATCTAAATGACACCATAACCGATTGATCGAGGTATAGGTTAACAATGATCATCACGGGTGCTGTTGACAAACAGGAATAATGTGACAATTTATCAGAATAAAGTTTAGATAGAGTGTAAAGTATTAAGTCTGACAAATTTCCACAAGAGTAAATAAATAAAGCTATTATAAAGAAAAGAAGAAGAAGCAGGGGTTGGGTTCGTCTGCTGAGAAGGAGGCGCAGAGTTAGTGGAACTAGAATAAACAATCTGGATGATTATGAGAGACCCTTTAGGCCATAATCAGTGTGCATTGCATTGGCAATGCACACTATTGTGATTCGTTTCCCATCCAAGTCATCTCAACTTTGCCATGCTTCTCCTCCTGGATACTTTGTCCTAGAGCTGCCATTGTAATTTATATCTGTAAAGCTCCTATGCCAAATTACGGCTATGCCTTTTGGTACCTGTACAACTTATAGTTTTTGAAATATTAATGTTTAATAA